AAAAAAAAAAAAAAGCTGTATTTGCACTACTGATTTGCAATTAAACTATTAAAGCTCAAAAATCGCTGTTCATTCGGGTATTTGAAGAATCCCTATATGGAAGGTACTGATTAACAAACTATTTGTGCTGTAGAAAATTGAAGAATATTAGTCTGCTGTATAGACTGCTGGCAGCAACAAATACTGTACTGTATAAATGCTAAACATAAACTTTGGTCTAGAGACTTAAAAGACTTAAACTCTGCTTCAGATTCTTCTGCAACAAATAGACTATTGCTTAGTGTTTTGCAGAATCAAACGATTTGATAACCTGTCTATTAACTGCTGACAGTCACCTTAGTTCTACTCAGACTTACGTGGTGTGAAAAGAAAAGAGGTGGCTTAGTGTTATTTTTGCAGTTTTGAGATCAGTTTTAAGGCGTAAAATTGTAAACTAAATGTTAAGCTTAAAAAAATGTTAAACAAATAAAACTAAGCAATTTTTTTTTGGGCCTTATTTTGTTTCTTTTCTGCTGTCTTTTTTTTTTTTTTTTTTCTCGTCTTCCAATATTTGCTAAAACAGCAAAACAGTTTTTTCCCTCTTTTATTGTTTGTCATCAGTTTCAAGTTGAATCTTTAAATACCGTTCATTGGCAGTGACCAAATAACTTTGATTAGCATATAACTTAATCAAAAAAAAAAAAACTTTTTTTTTTTGAAAAAAATGCACATTAAATCTTAGAAAAATACCGGGTTTATGTGAATTTCTTTGTCGTAAGTTTTTTTTTTTCTTTTTGGATTCTCCGCTTTCTTTTTTTTTCTTTTTCTTCATCCTAATCTATTTGTCGGCGGTGATATTCAGCGGTTTTTCCAAGCGATCTTCCAGCATTAAATTTGATCTTATATAAAGCGCTATTTGGTAAAAATATTTGTGAAGAAGCTATCGATTTTTCAATCGTCGAGGCCTTCCATCCACACACTGAATGCGCCGATATGCACCAATTGCAGTTATATATTCAATGATTCTATCGAAGCTAATCAACAAACGACGACAGCAGAACATTCTGCTGTATCCTGCATTATGCTTTTTTTTTTTTCCAGTTTTTTTTT